ATTTGTTTATTTATATATACATACATGACGACCAATATTTTTCGTTTGCTTTGCTTTCGTTCTGTTTTTTCCGTTTGTTAGCCTTAGAAAATGCCTCCGCGAATCGACATTAGCAAGAGAGTAAAATTTGTTAGACTGGTGCTCGCTCTCACCTCTCGGCTTAGTTACTCGCTGGGGTCAGAGTTGTAGTTACTTACCCATCGAGTAAACCAGAACTAAGCCAAGAAGAGGTGGGAGCGAGCACCAGTCTATTATTTGGTTAGCTGCATAATTCCTGTCACACCACTCACCAGTGACGTGACACCACCCAACAGTACACGTCATTTACCATGGCTGTGATTTCTTGCCGCTTACTGTTGATCTCTATATTTTTATGGCAATTTCTAGTTCACGCTCAAGAAACACCGAGTGAAAATGTGTATTCTGCTAGGGTAGAGGTGAGTTTAATCGGTTCTGTTCTGTTGACAGTAATTAACTGACAACAAAAGAGAAAGTCAATTAAATAGTTCAACACTCACTGTGACTCAGTCGCAGACAGTCGCAATGACCAATGACCAATGACAGTGATTCAATAAGTTCGCCACGTAGTTGTGACTCGTAGTCGTAGTGAGAAGCGAGAAGGTAACTTGTGCAGATAAGGTCTATGTCTCCCTGACCTCTGTTTGACCTGGCTCGCTTAGCTATTTTCGTAAGGCTAGGCCTTCCCCCACTCTTGTGTTCAAAGGGCCAAAAACAGCGAGCTGGGCAAAGTAGTCTATGACATATTTTAGGCCGTGGCTACGCGACCGGTTCCGGACGAGGAGCCGCTACGCTACGCGTCCGGACATCCATCTCTCACAGTAATCTTGCGACACGTACACATGCATGGTTGCGCAACGGGTTGCTCTGCTGATTGCTGTGTGTGTGCGTGTGCGTGTGCGTGTGCGTGCGCGTGCGCGTGCGCGTGCGTGTGCGCGCGTGTGTGTGTGTGTGTGTGAGAGAGAGAGAGAGAGAGATTGTCCCGTTGCGCAATCAATGAATCATGCGTGTACGCGAGTCGCGAGATCACTGTGTGAGTGGATGTTCGGATGCGTAGCCTGGAGGCTAGGCGACCGGTTCCGGACGCGTAGCCACTGCGAATATTTTAATGGTTTCTCCGCCTTGTTCTCCAGACGCTACGCTCACCTCTCAGCTCTGCAATCTTTGTTTTGGGCGCCATGCAAAAAGGCGACATTTTTGTTCGTTGTTCTCTGCTCTCACGATATATAGAGTTCTGTTCATTGGCGGATCCAGGATTCCAAGGAGGGGGTGAAATACAGGCGGGGGTATGGGGGCCCTCCCCCCAGAAAATTTAGAAAATGTATATCGCAGGAGATGGTATTTGAGGCACTTTTGAGTAGCCTTCATTCTGACTACGACAATTCTTTTTCTTTCTTTTTTTTCCGTTCGGATCAACGGGGCCATGGCCCCCTTTACCCCCTCCTAACTATGCCACTGTACATATCATAATTAGTCTATAATTAAAATCGTGTACATGCTTGTTGAAATATTTATTCCAGAGTTGCAGTGGATGACGACTGAATAGGCTTCCTGAAGTGAGACAGTTTATCTTTGATGATATTCCACTGTTGTATCCTTTGTGTCATTATAGAATGACTGATATATATACAAAATAAAAAGAATAAATATCAAATGTAGATAGTGGTGAGACTATCTTGATTTTTCATATATCTTCATAAACTAATGCATTGCCATTTGTGGGTTCAATCCTATTTGGCAGTAGAAGTAAATCTTGGATTTTCATGTGTTTGCAATGTCTCTGTTTTTATCCCTAATACTCAATCACTTTATCTCTCTATCTTTTTCCATCCCCAGTCTCTGAGAGAGAGAGAGAGAGAGAGAGAGAGAGAGAGAGAGAGAGAGAGAGAGAGAGAGAGAGAGAGAGAGAGAGAGAGAGAGAGAGAGAGAGAGAGAGAGAGAGAGAGAGAGAGAGAGAGAGAGAGAGAGAGAGAGAGAGAGAGAGTAGAGTAGTAGTAGTAGTAGTAGTAGTAGTAGTAGTAGTAGTAGTAGTAGTAGTAGTAGTAGTAGTAGTAGTAGTAGTAGTAGTAGTAGTAGTAGTAGTAGTA